TATATATAGATATATATATATATATATATATATATATATAAAAGTAAAGAAATTTAAAAACTTCACCTTGAAAAATAGACCTGCAAATCTAGTAGAGGAATTCCTTTATCCCCTCTCTAGCCTCTCCCCACCCCTTTTCCCTATCTCCACTCTTTCTCTTCCCCTTTCTCTCTCACCCTCAAGCAGTCTCAAGGAGGGATCTCGTGAAAGCTAGTTTCTCTTGTAAATCCATAAAATGCAAAACCGTCTGTTTGGAAGTCCAAACCAACTTGTTCCCGACTGACAAGCCAAGACTTGCACTTCTTTGACTGCATGTCACCACTAACAATACCACTGAGGCAGTCATTAATGTACCTAGAAAACTTCTGGTCCATCCACCGGGCCAGTTGGCACTCAATGATCTGGTGTGAATCATTCGCCGACGACAAAGTCAGCACAAGAGGTCTCAGGCGACACTTCATAAATCTGTCCGGGGTAAATAGCAAATATTTGACACGGTTAACCAAACAGAAATAACGGAGTCACCTTGTTCATTTCATATCGGTCTTTTCATGCCTGCGTCCTGCCAATAGACTCAGGCATTGCTTCTGGAACCGTCAGGAGAAGGTAATGTTCAATATATTTCTCAAGTCTATCTCAGGTGTGTTAAATAACTTTCAGAACATTGGTGTAGATGTAAATATGGACTTAATTCAAATCAGCTCGAACACACAAACAAATTGATTTAGACCAGTACTTGGTTATTGTGAGGCAGACTGTCGTTGTAAGTGTGATAGCTATCACAGAGCGGAGATACTGAGTTATATATCGAACTCGTTTGGCTGTAGTGGACACCCGTTCACTGAGTGGACCTCCGTTTAGTGAGTGGACCTTCAGTTTATTGAGTAGCCTCCGTTTATTGAGTGGACTTAAGTTCTTTGTGTGGACCTCCGTTTATTGAGTGGACCTTCAGTTCATTGAGTGGACCTTCAGTTCATTGAGTGGACCTTCAGTTCATTGAGTGGACCTTCAGTTCATTGAGTGGACCTTCAGTTCATTGAGTGGACCTTCAGTTCATTGAGTGGACCTTCAGTTCATTGAGTGGACCTTCAGTTCATTGAGTGGACCTTCAGTTCATTGAGTGGACCTCTTTTTTTTTTTTAATATTCCAGCGTTTAAATCCTTGAACGACTGCTTGTGTGGCTTACACCAGAAAAGTCTTGGTTTTTGAGGTTTCACGAAGGTAAATTAAAAATTAAAATTACACAGGAGATTCATACTTTGTTGATTTAAATAAAAATACAATGTTTCATTCAGTCTAATGCCTTACTGGTTTAAATGCTTTTGTTAGGTCTGTTATATGACCCAAATGACATATCCAATGACATATCCAATGCCATATCCAATGACATTCCCAATGACATATCCGATGACATATCCAATGACATATCCAATGACATATTCAATGACATATCCAATGACATATCAAATGACATATCCAATGACATATTCAATGACATATCCAATGACATATCCAATGACATATCCAATGACATATCCAATGACATATCCAATGACATATCCAATGACATATCCAATGACATATCCAATGACATATCCAATGACATATCCAATGACATATCCAATGACATATCCAATGACATATCCAATGACATATCCAATGACATATCCAATGACATATCCAATGACATATCCAATGACATATACAATGACATATACAATGACATATCCAATGACATATCCAATGACATATCCAAAGACATATCCAATGACATATCCAATGACATATCCAATGACATATCCAATGACAAAAGAGGAGCGTGTGGGTGTCCGTCCCAGGGTGCATGTTTTTCTATTTATTTAAGGGTGAGGGCCATTTTGGCCAACTTTAGAGGGTTTTTTTTTTTACGTGGAGTGAAGTGGTTCTCAAAAATCTTGTCACACCCCGGGTGCCACTAACCCTTCCAAGGGCGCCACCATCTCTATCTACACCACTGCGTAAAACCTTATAAAATACATTACCACGTCACTCAAATCCATTTTACCAACATGTGTTATAGCTTATTTTTAAAAACATATGATCATTAAGAAAAGTATGCCTTATAAGAATTTCGATTACCCCACTGAAACTAAAAAGTCCAGACCGTTGTCAACACATTTAATCCCTGATCTAGAACACCTTCCAGGTCGATCTATTGATTTCCTAGAGTGTTAAATGCCCTAAATTAAATCCCCCCCCCCCCTTTTTGGTTTGAACCGATTGTATGGGGCTCCCTTTGTTGAAGTAAATGTGGTGCTTGCTGCACTGTGTGATACTGTCGTCACGAGTTCTAGTTAAATCTGGAACCTTTAATATCATGCACCGACCGCCGGACCCCCCCCCCTCTCGCTAACCCCCTCCCTGGGTCTGATAAACATGTCAACGTGCCTGGGACGTCTTTGATCCATAAGCCTTAGGTTTGAACCGATTGGATGGGGCTCCCTTTGTTTAAGTAAATGTGGTGCTTGCTGCACTGTGTGATACTGTCGTCACGAGTTCTAGTTAAATCTGGAACCTTTAATTTCATGCACCGACCGCCGGACCCCCCCCCCCTCTCGCTAACCCCCTCCCTGGGTCTGATAAACATGTCAACGTGCCTGGGACGTCTTTGATCCATAAGCCTTCGGTTAAATGTTGAATGGGAAACAATATAATGAGCAAACAATGATCGCATAGCGTTTAAAATTCTTAGTAGTCAACCGCTGCTTTTAGTCGCTGTCTCGTGTGGGAGATGTTGCTTTATACTGAAGCTCATTGACCGAAAAGTCGAGGTAATTTAATTGTTGACATCTATGCGAATGGAATTAGTATGGACGGGGTATGCGATTTTACTCTCAATTATGTTGTCTTGATTGTGTTGTCCTTATTGTGTTGTCTTTATTGTGTTGTCCTTATTGTGTTGTCTTTATTGTGTTGTCCTTATTGTGTTGTCTGTATTGTGTTGTCCTTATTGTGTTGTCTGTATTGTGTTGTCCTCATTGTGTTGTCTGTATTGTGTTGTCCTCATTGTGTTGTCCTTACTGTGGTGTCCTTATTGTGTTGTCCTTATTGTGTTGTCTTTATTGTGTTGTCCTTATTGTGTTGTCTTTATTGTGTTTTGTTTATTCTGTGTGCTGTTTCATTGTATTGTGTTTGTTATTTTGGCTTTCGCATACCTCGGTCTTACAAGTAATTCCACAAGGCTCGAAGGCAGTGCAGGCTCTACTCTAATATGCCTACAATCTACTTGTAGGAAAAGCAGGAGATATATTATATAACCCGGGTTTGACACCCGGCGGAAAACTGAATCAAACCATGATATTCACTGGGTGTGACACAGCTAAAAATAGAATCCAAGCATCATTAACCCTTGTTCACTCTTTACTCAGAAGAATCGCAGATTTTCGTTGGGTTTTTTTTTGTTGTCATTCGTCCTACACGGGCGAAGATGACGAGACAATATTTCACGGCTAGTACCTGCAGGTGGCAGATTGAAGGTGTTAAGCACGGGGTTTTGTAACATTTTTTTTTTTTGCATCGCCGAAACCCTCCTCGATTTCAAAATATTTCTAGCATAACCCCACCCCCTTACCTCCCGCCCCCCTTCCCCCCTCGCACCCCTTACCTCCCCACGCCCCTTACCTCCTCACTCCCCGACATAAGATCCTCATCTAAACATTTTACTCTAAATATAATTATATCTTAGTTTTGCCCGCATGACCCTCTTGTTCATTGACAAAGACGTGAGAATACTGTTCCCATTTTATGAAAGTGCCACTAAAGAGAAGTTCTTATCTTTATGTATATCCTCACTGACCAGCTTGATGGATTCCAGAAACTTCAGAAACTTTTGGTGCCCGTCCGTATATTTCTGCTCAAAATATTTCCCAACCCTCAACTCAGCAAGTTCATTGGTCAAAACGTCAGGGGTTTTATTCCGAGGTCTTTCAAGGCCCCCCCCCCCCAACCCCACTTTTCCTTTCTCTGTGTCTTATATTTCATAACCGTTATTTGACATGTTCTCGTGATCTTTGTGAAGATCAAGATCAAAAGTTGTCAACAAAAGGTGCCGCCGTGGAATTGTGGTTCAAAATCTGATGCAAGAGTTCGATTGAAAAAATTATTGATTTTTCCTTTCAAAAGCTATCGATCTTGATAGAATTTGATTTTCAGCAGTTAAACTTACTGCGGAAAAATACTTGCTAGGAATACAAGTATTAATAAATGTACAGAAAAATAATACCAGTTATGTTGTGGTAGTTAACAACAATGCATCGTGCACGTTATTTAACCATCATAATTTCATTTCAGTGTAAACCAAAGAATCACACTGCACGTCAACAAATCAACTATTGCAAGTGTTGGTGATTTTCTGAATAAAGAAATTATTTTCAGATATTAACTTATTATCTCTATTTGATGTGATACAAAAAAAAAAAAAAAAGACGAAAACGAATTGAAGACAGTTTATGATGACGTCGCCAAATGTGCAGCTGGCTGGCTTCATGACAACCAATGTGGACAAAATGTCCATCAATGAGGACTTTTTGTCGGCGTCTTCCCAGATGTTGTCCAAGTTATTAAATACAGACGTGAAGGTGAGTGACCCCAGTGCGATGATCAAGCTTAAAATGCGACTTTTTTTTTTGTAATAATTGTCAGGTATTGTATATTTCATTCATTATCAATATCTGTTCGCAACTCTTAATAATGAATGTGTTTAGTCATTTATTTCCCTCCAGGTTCGAATATTTATTTTAAGCCTAATGGCCGCGTTGGTTGCAGAGAGTTTTCAACCCTATCGACTCCACGCTTTATTCCACAAATAAAGAAAAACATATTTATGAAGTCTTAACACATTCCAAAAATAAAGATCAACATATTTATGAAATCTTAACACATTCAACAAATAAAGACAAACATGTGTTTGCCTTTTGAAGTCTGAACTCATTCCAAAGCTTTCCCTTCTCTGTTCGCAGCATGTCTGATATTTTAAAATTCTTGCAATAGAAAAGTCTTGGAATACAAATTCGAACAATGAAGCGACTACGAGAGCAAACAGATTGTTCTATGCAGCTACAAATAAAAATCTTTTTTTTTAAATCCTCGTCTCTTACAAATGAGTGAACTCATTTTTTTTTTTTTTTTATGACTAAGTTTAGAATTTTTAGTTTTGATAAAGACACTATTTTAATCCGGTAGGATAACATTTTTCTAATTGACTGAACTAAAGAAGTGAGTGTTTACTAAAACAATTGTTGGGAACTTATGCATTTCCAGAACGTGACGTGTTGTGAATTATAATTATTTACTTTCCAGAACGTGACCCTTGAACTCCAGACCAACGTCGCCATGATGAGAGCTGCCTCCACCGCCCCGATGTTCAACATAAAACTGTTTCACAACTCGGACCAAGTGGACAGCGGGACGAAGTTCGACTACGCTAGAAAAGTCGCCGGCTGGCTAGCCAAACAGATCAGGGTACCCGAAGACAGGTCAGTCCTTGTCCCCGTGTGGCTGTCACGGTCGAATCGCGTGATTTTGCTTTGTGTCTGGGGTTGATGTTATTAGAGTGAGCGATAGTGTTTTTTTCCGTTAGTTTTTCCCCTTGTTCCCAACGAATTGTCCCAGCCAGCTATGACCGTGGCAGCGTGTTGAAGACAAACCACATGAGGAAAAAAATGAGTGTGAATGATTGTTGTGTTGAGAGTGACGCGTGCTGTGGATTTAGGAGTGACAGGGGCCATTGCTGTGGTTGTAGGAGTGACAGGGGCCATTTCTGTGGATGTAGGAGTGACAGGGGCCATTTCTGTGGATGTAGGAGTGACAGGGGCCATTTCTGTGGATGTAGGAGTGACAGGGGCCATTTCTGTGGATGTAGGAGTGACAGGGGCCATTTCTGTGGATGTAGGAGTGACAGGGGCCATTTCTGTGGATGTAGGAGTGACAGGGGCCATTTCTGTGGATGTAGGAGTGACAGGGGCCATTTCTGTGGATGTAGGAGTGACAGGGGCCATTTCTGTGGATGTAGGAGTGACAGGGGCCATTTCTGTGGATGTAGGAGTGACAGGGGCCATTTCTGTGGATGTAGGAGTGACAGGGGCCATTTCTGTGGATGTAGGAGTGACAGGGGCCATTTCTGTGGATGTAGGAGTGACAGGGGCCATTTCTGTGGATGTAGGAGTGACAGGGGCCATTTCTGTGGATGTAGGAGTGACAGGGGCCATTTCTGTGGATGTAGGAGTGACAGGGGCCATTTCTGTGGATGTAGGAGTGACAGGGGCCATTTCTGTGGATGTAGGAGTGACAGGGGCCATTTCTGTGGATGTAGGAGTGACAGGGGCCATTTCTGTGGATGTAGGAGTGACAGGGGCCNTGTGGATGTAGGAGTGACGGGGGCCAGTTCTATGGATGTAGGAGTGGCAGGGGCCATTGCTGTGGATGTAGTAGTGACAGGGGCCATCTCTGTGGAGTTAGGAGTGACCAGGGTCATTGTTGTGGATGTAGGAGTGACAGAGGCCATTGCTGTGGATGTAGGAGTGACAGGGGCCATTGCTGTGGATGTAGGAGTGAGATTTTAGTTGGATATACTTATTTCTTGTGTTCTATGCATTTTCAATCCCTATGCACACCAAGAGATAAAATACATGAACCTGAACCGTTTCACTGAGTTGCGTTTAATGAATTCTTACGACACATCAGCTCTGCAGGAGCTTGAAGGAAATGAGTTTCTTTTACTCTGACATTGCTCAGCGGCCACAACGAAGGGGACCTAACTTCTAGACAACGTACCATCCACCACAGTGGTCTCGTTGTTCGACTTATTTCAATTTTTGAGGATCAGGCATCTCCCCTTTCCTACTGCTGATGAGATCCTTTTCTGACGGCGCTTCGTCGGCCAGAGAGGTCCTAGCATCTTCCCAAGTCTCTTGTGCTCATGCTGGCCGCCACCGTAGCTTCGTTCAGAGAGGTCCTAGCATCTTCCCAAGTCTCTTGTGCTCATGCTGGCCGCCACCGTAGCTTCGTTCAGAGAGGTCCTAGCATCTTCCCAAGTCTCTCGTGCTCATGCTGGCCGCCACCGTAGCTTCGTTCAGAGAGGTCCTAGCATCTTCCCAAGTCTCTTGTGTTCATGCTGGCCGCCACCGTAGCTTCGTTCAGAGAGGTCCTAGCATCTTCCCAAGTCTCTTGTGCTCATGCTGGCCGCCACCGTAGCTTCGTTCAGAGAGGTCCTAGCATCTTCCCAAGGCTCTTGTGCTCATGCTGGCCGCCACCGTAGCTTCGTTCAGAGAGGTCCTAGCATCTTCCCAAGTCTCTCGTGCTCATGCTTGCCGCCACCGTAGCTTCGTTCAGAGAGGTCCTAGCATCTTCCCAAGTCTCTCGTGCTCATGCTGGCCGCCACCGTAGCTTCGTTCGTTTACGGTCTTGTGGCCCAAGAGCGGAGATCTGCATTCTTTGTACTCTCTGCATGCCACGTCCCTGAGAATGCGACATGGGTCCAATCGTCTCGGTGTTGCCGAGACGAAGACGTCAACGCTCGGGTTAAGTGAAGAACTTGCTGCATTTTGGCACATTCCAGAACATCAATGTTGAGCACTTTGACCTGTCATCGAATGCTTGGGCTTCACCCTGGTCAACTCTGGTGAAACCCCTTGAATTCACCGTGGTCAACTCTGGTAAAGGCCACTGAGTGTCCATTGCTGGCCCGTATGTGTAGTTCACAACGCGCTGCCCAGGCGAAGTTCACTGAGCACGCATGACCGGTACGGCTAAGAAATTAACCAATCCATGCAATGTTCATATATACGGCTAAAAAATTAACCAGTCAATTCAATTTCATTATGTAATTAACACAACGTTTTTCAATATTTTCTCCAGGGTACTGGTGCTGTTTGTAGACACAAGATATTGCAATGCTGCATAGCCTATGTATACTTATCTGTCATTGTAAAAAAAAAATATGTTAACATGTAAATAAATTATCATACAACTTGCTCAAGGTGGATAAAAGTCAGTTTTTGTAATAAGTCTTAGTAACATCGTCAAAAGAAAATGTAAGTCAATAATTGATTAAAAGGAAAATAAATTAAAGAATATGATTTATTTTTAAAAAAATGTTTTCGTTTCTTTTCATTATTCTGACAACCTCGTAAGTTTTTATTTATTAAGTAAGAGGACGAAAGTTTGTTTATGCAGAACAATAACAACCTTGAAGTTATATCTCTCTAGAACAGGGGGAGAGGGGGGGGAGGGGTAGGGCAGGTTTTTAAACTACGCCCCGTGGGCTGGATCCGGTCCGCCATTGGTCATTGATCCGGTCCAGCTGGCCACCGTAAGAGTACATGGCTAGCTGCAACAACCATGGGAAAGGATATTGATCATCTCATTAGCCTTACTTCCCTTTGAAAAACTACTAAATTTATGTTGGATATATCATTTTCGACATTTTAAATATGTAATTGTTTTTTTTTAAGTTGTTCCCCACCCCTTACAAATGAATTATGTACAGTGTGCATAAAACTGAGTTATGTACAGTGTGTATAGAATTGATATATGTGCAGTGTGCATATAACTGAGATATGTGAAGTGTGCATAGAATTGATATATGTGCAGTGTACATATAACTTAGATATGTGAAATGCGCATATACCTGAGATATGTGAAGTGTGCATATAACTGAGATATGTGAAGTGTGCATATAACTGAGATATGTGAAGTGTGCATATATCTGAGATATGTGAAGTTTGCATATAGCTGAGATATGTGAAGTGTGCATATAACTGAGATGTGTGAATTGTGCATAGAATTGAGATGTGTGCATTGTGCATAAAATTGACATAGGTGCAGTGTGCATAGAATTGAGATGTGTACATTGTGCATAGAATTGAGATGTGTGCATTGCGCATAAAATTGACATAGGTGCAGTGTGCATAGAATTGAGATGTGTACATTGGGCATAGAATTAAGATGTGTGCATTGTGCATAACGTTGACATAGGTGCAGTGCGAATAAAATTGAGATATGTGCAGTGTGCATATAATTGAGATATGTGCAGTGTGCATATAATTGAGATATGTGCAGTGTGCATATAATTGAGATATGTGCAGTGTGCATATAATTGAGATATGTGCAGTGTGCACATAATTGAGATATGTGCAGTGTGCATATAATTGAGATATGTGCACTGATTCGACCCCTTGTTTGGTGAACCCTGCTCTAGATGAATCTATAAAACTGATGGGTTCATACAAATGACGTCAGGAGGGGACTGGTCCACAGGATACTTTGCACTATGACGTCACCTAATTTCTCACATGAGATATTTCTACCTCTCCATGTGTTGGCACAAAAAATCAACTGCAATAGCCCCAAAATTAATATGACACGGCCCTATCAGAAGGTGACATGGCTCTATCAGAAGGTGACATGGCTCTATAAGATGGTGACACGACTCTATCAGAAGGTGGCACGGCTCTATCAGAAGGTGACACGGTCCTATTTAATATGACACCACCCTATCTGAAGGTAACTTGGCTCTATCCGAAGGTGACACGGTCGTATCTGAAGATGACGTGGTCCTATATAAATATGAAATGGCCCTATATGAAAATGGCACGGCCTTATCAGAATGGGAGATGGCCCTATATAAACGTGACACGGCCCTATACAAACACAACACGGCCCTATATAATAATAATAATAATAAAGTTCATTTTAAAATCACGCTTCATTCCAAAGGCTTGAAGCGCGGGACCAAGTCAACCATATTAAAAGAGAAATGAAAACAATCTAGCGGATTTGTCTAGTGGGTACATAAGGCATCATGAGCGCTTTGAGATAGGACGGCGCCAGGTCAATCAAGCGGCGGTAGCACAGAGTTGCAATTTTGCGAGCGCGGACCGGCAGCCAAAGCAGCTCTCTCAGAAGTGTTTTAGCATGGTCAAATTTGCGTTTGAGAAGAACAATGCGAGCCGCATTATTCTTTGCTATTTGAATTTTATCCAGGAGTGTAGCTGGAAAACCTACCAATGAGAGCATTGCAGTAGTCCATGCGTGATAGCACAAATGTTGACATCAGCCTCTTTGATGCATCAAACGTTAAGAAAGGTTTGATATGACTAATTCTGCGCAGCTCTAGAAAAATCGCCTTGCAAAGCATGTTAATATGATTTTCCATAGTTGGTGTTCTGTCTAAGTAGACACCCAAGTCTCACATTGTTTGAGCAAACTCAATCTGCACACCTGAGAGAGTAAGGGATGGTGTGTTATTTACAGATTTTAGCTTTTGGGCGGTAGCAATGGGGATCAGCTCGATCTTTTCATCGTTCAATTTGAGATTTTTTATAGTCATCCAGTGCTTAACTGACTCCACAGTCTTCTGTGTCATATTAAGAAGCTGAGGGAATTGAGCGGGAATCACGGATTGCTGAAGTTGTGTGTCATCCGCGAACATGCGTGTGAGACAGCACGTCAAACTGCTTGATCACTACACACTGGGGCTGAAAGTACATGGTGAAAAGCACCAGGCCTAGGACCGAACCCTGTGGTACTCCGAATTCGATAATAGATTGATTCGAGGTCAAGCCGTTTGCGAAAACTCACTGGACCTGATTTGTCAGATACGAACGGAACCATCTCAGGACGTTATCGGTGAAACCGAACGTTTTTTTGCATACGTTGTAGAAGTCTGCCGTGGTCAAGCGTATCGAATGCTGCCGATAAATCAAGTAGCGACAGAAGGGATACCTGGCCCTCACCACAAGACGACAGAAGGTCATTTACGACACGCAAGAGGGCTGTCTCAGTAGAGTGATGCGCCCTGAATGCTGACCGGAAAGGCTCATGCAAGTCACACTGATAAATATGACACGGCCCTATATAAATATAACACGGCCATATATAAATACGACACGGTCCTATATACATATGACACGGCTATATATAAGTATGACACGGCCCTGTATAAATATGGAACGGCCCTATCTGGGGGTGAGACGGTATGGCATGGCCCCATAAACACATGGCCCTATATAAATATGGCATGGCCCTCTATAAACACATGGCCCTATATAAATATGGCATGGCCCTCTATAAACACATGGCCCTATATAAATATGGCATGGCCATCTATAAACACATGGTCCTATATAAATATAGCATGGCTCTCTATAAACACATGGCCCTATAAAAATATGACATGGCCTCATCTGAAGGTGACACTTGAATTAGCTTTATTGCAAAGATAAAGTATAATAACTAAGGGAAATAACGGAAGAATATCTTAAATGCCCTAAGAATCTAAGTTGTGAGACTTGATTTGTATAACATGAAGTATTTAAATAAGAAATTTATTTTGGTCGGAGGTTGTTTGGCTCCCGCCACTCGGGGGGGGGGGTATTTAGACACCATTTGGGGGTGTTAAGGTTTAAGGAAAGGTGTTACTTTTTTTCGTTTGTTGGCGCCATGTTCGTATCCTTTAAAATACTGTTATTGAGAAGCGAAGTTTCATCCCTTTAAAAAAAAAAGCTCTCATAAATGGCACAATGAAGTCATCACTGCGGTTCAAGGCAACCTGCCTGACGAGAAAGGAAATATATATTGGTGAGCTACGTCATTCCACAGTAATTTGTTCCAGAGACCAGCTATCGGGGTTGGGGGGGGGGGGGAGATGATTGCAACTCTGACTCTCAAACTCCCAGCAACATGACTTCACCTCTCAGCAGCTACGCTCAACACGTTTTGAAATAAATTGCTGTCCGTCAAGATTCGACTTATTATTTCGTCAAAGTTGAAACTACAAGACTAAATTACATCTGATACTCACCAAATTTAAAAAATGGCATATAATGCTCACACTAGCACTAATTTATATATAATGCTCACACTCAGGGCCGTGCCAAGGAAAAGGTGCCCACTGGGCGATGGCTTAGTTTTAGCGCCCCCTCCCAAAACGTGGGTATTTTTTTATGTATATTCCATGAATTAATTCTTATTTGGCAACCCAGTATGTAGGCGACCGTAGCCTACTTTTAGCAAGACCACGTCACCAGATAATAACATTTAATAATGACAACATCAAATAACAAAAATCACCCAACAACACCAATTCCTTATTGCCATTTATTTTGGCATTTCCGACCATCCTATTTAATAAATAAATTTATTTTTATCACTATATATTGGTTTGTAAATGTGCTCCCTTACATCTGCACCAGCCCCATTGGACACATAGTGCACCAGCCCCCATTGGACACATAGTGCACCAGCCCCATTGGACACATAGTGCACCAGCCCCATTGGACACATAGTGCACCAGCCCCATTGGACACATAGTGCACCAGCCCCCATTGGACACATAGTGCACCAGCCCCATTGGACACATAGTGCACCAGCCCCATTGGACACATAGTGCACGAGCCCCCATTGGACACATAGTGCACCAGCCCCATTGGACACATAGTGCACCAGCCCCATTGGACACATAGTGCACCAGCCCCCATTGGACACATAGTGCACCAGCCCCATTTGGACACATAGTGCACCAGCCCCATTGGACACATAGTGCACCAGCCCCCATTGGACACATAGTGCACCAGCCCCATTGGACACATAGTGCACCAGCCCCCATGGACACATAGTGCACCAGCCCCCATTGGACACATAGTGCACCAGCCCCATTGGACACATAGTGCACCAGCCCCATTGGACACATAGTGCACCAGCCCCCATTGGACACATAGTGCACCAGCCCCATTGGACACATAGTGCACCAGCCCCATTGGACACATAGTGCACCAGCCCCATTGGACACATAGTGCACCAGCCCCCATTGGACACATAGTGCACCAGCCCCATTGGACACATAGTGCACCAGCCCCATTGGACACATAGTGCACCAGCCCCATTGGACACATAGTGCACCAGCCCCCATTGGACACATAGTGCACCAGCCCCATTGGACACATAGTGCACCAGCCCCATTGGACACATAGTGCACCAGCCCCAATGGACACATAGTGCACCAGCCCCCATTGGACACATAGTGCACCAGCCCCATTGGACACATAGTGCACCAGCCCCAT